GTCTTTGCGGCTGGGGTAGGAAATGGGTTGATAAGCGGATGTTTCGTATTAATAAAAATTTTTTATTCTGAAATACAATACCTTATTCATACCTACGACTATTCTTGTCCCTTTAATAATTATGTTCATTTTATCTTTGGCCTCAAACACAGAAAGATTGGTCATGTCATATCGGCAACGTGAGTAGGTGGAGTAGGTCATCTATCAAGTGACATTCAGAGCAAGCTTTAACAAAGAACTGTCGTGTCGATCCACTCTTGATATGGCCTAGAATCAGTTGTCATATTGTTCTAAGATCTTTGAGTCATCTAACAACTCATTTTCTGTTGGACGGCTACTTCGTTGCCTTTATTCTCCAAATCCCCTCATTGACATGACCAGCGGCGTAGAAAAAACTTTTACAACTCTTTAACTTCGGAGCTTACCTATGTGATCCAGACCTTCCATCCATCCCAGAAATTTCATTGGAACCGAGCTCATGAAGTGGGAAGAAAATGACTACAAGCCCCACTTTGCTGGTGGGCGGGCGGACCGCAATAGTTCTGCAGATTATGAATCAGGGAGAAGCGTCGGCTTTTAAAGCATGGATATAGAGCGTTGTCACGGCGGAATACGATAAGGCAAAAGCTCTGCAGTAGCTCGAAATCTGTCAAACCCACCTACCCCAACAGTGATGGGCAGAATTGACGGGCTTCGAATGTTGTTAAGAACATTTAAGCTTGCCATATCTAGAGCAATAGACCGTGCAATTTGGACAACAACCGACAGAAAGGCTTTACGAAATCGAATGTTAGGTTAATGCGTACCCCATTCAATTTGATGATATCTATCTGCTAAGCCTTCACGCTGGATTTTCTCATACTTTTTAGTAGCTTGCGTCTGTTTGATATTTTTCGATAGATCGATTTCGTTAGGTGGAAGAAAGAATTTAATTGTTAATTTTTTTTTTGATGCACGCAGTGATGCGCTCAAATTCTGGTCCATAGGAAGGCCAACATCTCTAGAATTCTTTTCTTCTCTACTCATTTGTAAGACGGGCTTACCGGTTATCCTAACGGATACCTAAAGTTGAAGAATGGAGACTTGGCTTTAATCATTCCCGTCGTTGGGACACGCCTCCACAGTGGGCTTTCATTCAGAATCGTAGAGGCATTTAAAATGCCTACATGTTGTATGTAGCCTCCAATACTTGTTCTTAAAAATAACGATGCTGGTCGTGCATTGGATTTCCTAGAAAATGAGTTCTATTTCTATGCCACCAACCTTTTTTGCGTAGTGTGCCACGCAAATGTCTTTTGTTCAATGACGTAGGTGCTTTTGAATGATTATCAGAACGAAAGCAAAGAAAAAAAAACAAAAACAAACAGATGTGAGAAAACATCACGTCGGAAATGTACTCAAAGTGAATCAAGGAGAGGGGCCATTTTATATCGAAAAAATTTTATATAACTTGTTTGCTTAAACTAGATGGTGACTTTTTTTGAAAAGAACTTAGAGTCACAAGAATCCATGGTAAAAAGAGGCTCAGTTCCATGAATACAACTCGTATATTTCATCTTCAAAATGGGACCCCATTGAATGTAAAAAATCGGAAAATCACAGGAAATACTTTGAAATTGAAATTTTAAACTACGAAATGCTATCTGCTCGAGCATCTAGTCTGGTAATCAGGTTCCAGCTCAGTGACGATGTTCCTTTCCATACAAATTGTTTATGAGTGGCATCTGTTACATTTTTTATTATTTGTTATACTTTATTATCATAGACGTGCTACTCGTATGATTATTACCATCTGAAATTACTATCATGTGAAATTATCGTCATCTACTAACCTTTTGACCACCATCGCCCAAATCGTCTACTATCTCTTTTGAACTGTCCTGTATGGAATCCCTCATCTCCTGATTTCTCCCGATTGCAGTTTCTTGGAAAAAGTGGCAATAACTACTGCTAAAAGAAGCGTCTCCGATTCCACAATAAAAGCCCTCCTTGTCTCAGTAGGATCGTTTCCCCTCTGACGCTCGTTGTTTGATGTTTCCCCTTCCAATCCTTCCCCACCCCCTCCCTTTTTCGATGTGTTTACTCAGATGCTAAGGGTAATCAAGTGTTCTTTCTGATGGAATTGGTCAAAAGCAACGAATTCACGGCTTACTCCTTACAATACGATAAGGGCAACGATTTTCTTCTTGTCTTCAATCTTTTTTTTTGTGGAACAAAAAATTGTTCAAGAAAGCTCTTCAAACAAATTGTTGCAGAAGTCCTGTCTTCTTGACTCAGTGATGTTGCAAAAGTACATTTTTCAATGGTACTTGATAGAAGAAAAACATTTGAAGAAAAAATGCTGGAAAAATGACTTTTTTGCCAAAATTTTTTTTGATTTGAAGTAAATTTAACAATTTATCCGATAATTAATACTGCTTTTACAGCGCACAAAACAATTGTCTACTATAATTTATTTCACAATGTTTGAACAGCTGTTCATCGCTTTGAACGGCGTTTTTCATTTCGTTGGTTGTTTTCTAGTGGGATCAACCGTTAAAGTCATTTGTCCCCCATGAATTTTTTCCTTTCTCGATTTTACACAGACAAAAACTTTTTTCTCATTATTTCGAGTAACCTTCTCCTACTTCTGTCATCTGTCACAGAAGAGAAATAGTTTGCAAAGTGAGGTCAAC